TTTCAGCTCTAGTACAGGCACTATTATTTTGTTGCAACTCTGTATGTCTTATGCATGTGGGAGACCAATTTCATTTCAACTGAAGGCAAAACCTGTTACTCATTTCAAATTTCTATTTTTATTATGAGACTGAGAGGAATGTGGATGGATAACATTGTTGACTCTGAAGCTGCATGTAATGATGATTATGAATGTTTTGTTTTTCGTCAATCCCATGCCAGCTGATAGACATTTAACTGAAGAGCTGTTCTGGGAAACACCAAGTACCCCACACTGCCTTCTCTGCTGCATGTAAATAAGAGTTTGGGTGTCAGATTTGAACTGGACACAGGGTTTTTACCATGGAGGCTTTAGAATAACCTGCCTGAAGTAGGAACCGCATTTGTCACCTTGGGGTGTCTCTTTCTTGACTAGAAAGTACTTCCAGTGTTATTTTTTGGTTTATGTTTTTAGCACCACAAAAGAAAATCCAGTCGCCCCCTTTGTATTTGACTGGCAGCAAAGATCATAGATGTCAATATCTCAAAACCTTGCCGCCAAAACACAAAACTACCTGCACGGGTAGACACCTCTATGGTCGAGGAGAAACTATGTTCTTCTGTAATTTGGGTGAACTGGCCCCTGACAACATACAGACATACTTAAATGTGATGTGTCAAATGTGCTTCTGTTAGAACGTTTATCTAACATATTCTAACCTCTGTTGTCTTGTATTTTCTGTCACACGCTGTATACAGTGACTGCATTAGTATCCCTTACAGCTGACCCTGAAAGTTTAAGATAACAGCATGGGAAGTGAAACTTTTGATTAGATGGCAAATTGTAGTGTAATTCAAGTCTCTAGGTTTCAGCGTTCAGCACAGGGGAATAAAATGCACATGAGTTTCAGCTATACTTTTACACACTGAAAGGCATAGAAGAATAATCTTTTTACTCCCATAAAAACTGAGAGACTAGAGTTACAAAGGCATTGATCTGGGTATGCAAACATTTCTTTTGTTGCTGGACTTTGACTAAAATTACATGCACTGTCTTTTGTCTTTGGTTGAGTGTGATGTTTTTAAGTCGATTAACCAAGTAATTGATCAACAAAGAATGAATCTACAACAATTTGAATAATATATGAATTATTCAATCATAATTTTAAAAAATACAACAATTTTAGTATTTTCTGGTTTTCTTATTTTTTTATGATAATAAACTAACTATATTTAGGTTTAGGACTTTTGGTCATACAAAAACAGCAATTCGTCCCCTAGAGCTCTGGGAAAATGTGATGGTCATATTTCAGATTTAACAGACCAGGCAGTGAACTGATTAAATAATGGCACATTAAGTAATAATAAAATAATAATTAGTTGCAGCCCTAAAATGTTTTTTTCACTACCTTCATTTGATTACATATTTCCATGAGGTCTCACTATCCTTATTTCAAATAAACAAAGTGACCGAGACCCCCTGGAACCACATCAACACCCCTTTAAATGATATCTGCTTCCCAGTTTGGTACATCCTGTTAAGTTACAGTCCAATGCAAAGGTGTCTGAAACACAGCCTGTTCTTTACTGAGCAGCAGTGGGCAGGAGTAAATGACCATGTTTAAAACTAAATGCAATCACATTCTGCAGGGGGGCAGTTAATATGTAAATGACTGTCCAGGTAGTCGGTAACGTTTCAGCTTTGCATGACTCACGGGTTTAACACGTCTGGTCCCCTCCCTTTGCAGTCAATGGGATTCAGCTCGTCCTCGGGAAAGGCATGTTTCATGTAATTGTCATATCCAAAATAGAACATGTCTCTGGCCATGCCCTTCATCTTCGCTTTGAGCGTGTCTGGGAAGGAGCTGTATCTCCGGACGTACTCGTCCTTGTTGCCATCGAAGAAGCTCAGGTAGGATCTCTTGAGTGACTCCTCTCCAACATTTGCACAGGTGCTCGCCGTCTCTTCATATCTGCGGTCGTGCATCTGTTGAGACCACGAGTTACCCCTGGGGTCGGTCCCTTTCTCATCCCTAAATAACAAGTCTAATTTGTGCAAACTGAAACTCAGGTGGAAGTTGAACCCCCAGCTAACGTTAGGTCCGAGTCCGAAGGCTAGCCACAGCACACAGCTGAGGGAGAGTCTCAATACCACCAGACCAACTACTAGTGACCTCCATTGCATCTTTGATCCGGGTCGATCTTAAAACGCATAATTTAAGTCCACACACCATCGATGGGGGTGAACGAGTGCGGAGTCCTGTTTGTCAGGATCAACTACAAGCACGGAGAAGCTGGAGTGATTCCGCCTCTCACGCTTCCTGTCAACAGACCAGCCCCTTTCAGATGCTGAGGCGTGATTGGGTCTTTCGTCGTGTCGTCATCCAAAAAAACGAGGCGGGCCCATCCTGCGATTGGCCGCAGAGCTGTCAGTTTGCTGGCCGCGTCTCGTGGCCATCCCTGACGTGTCTTAATTTAACTTCTGCGCCAATAGAAAACAGCCACAAGAGTGAGACGTTCAGGGGAGCAGAGCTAAGTATTTGGTTAGATCCCAGGAGAATCAAAGTTAGAGAGGCTGCCGGTAAAGGCAAATGTGAAGAAAATGGAGGCAGCAGAGTGCATAATTTAACCTGCATTAGTAGAAATATTGGTAACACTTTCTAATAAGACAAGAGTTTGTGATGGTTTTATTGATAGCTTATAAATATACTTAAGGTGAATAGGCTTAAATAAATTAAAAGTCATTAATAAAAAAAAACATTTGAGTGGTTATTATGAAAAATCCTTGTGACTGGTTGGACTGTCTTCACACTGTCTTCACAGCTTCTTCCTCTGGAATTATTATTAGTAGTAGTAACAACTTATTCAAGATGCATATTGTGTTTTCCACACAAAACCTACCATACCTTTAAGACAGCTATAAATGATATCTGTTTCATCTCCCCCATTGAAACATCCAGAAACTATGAATCTTTCTTTTCACAAGTGGTCACAAGATGTCTCCTACTGTAAAGTAGATTCACGTTTCCACATCTCACTCATGCAGATTGCACATTGTTTCACCAAATCATCTCATTCATACATGCCTTAAATTCACGTGAACATGAATTTTGAAAACAGCCTTTTAGTGTCAAACTCTGCACATCCATCATTCTGGGCAGTGAAAGTCAAACATCCAAGTGAAGTTACAATAACAGGCATGCAAACTGGTCAGAGGTAAAAAAAAGCTTACATGTTGTATATATAACGTGCATTCGTCTACTACTACTGCAACAAGAGAAAGATACACGCAAGGGCATCACTTTGTGTTGAAAAGTAGTGGGGACATAAGGGCTCAGATTAGGGCTGTGACGATACACTTATTTTAGGAGATTTTTATATAGCCTACAGTCTATGCTTAGAATATAGGGCGATGCACCACGCTGGTGTCACTAGAACGAGATGTGATGATGAAACAGTATTTAATAGAAATCATCAAAGCTGAAATATATTACTTGGGGGGTCTGGGGGTCCTCCCCCCTGAAAAGTTTGAGCATTAAACACTTAATTTCCTGCATTCTGGTGACATTTACGGTTCTGCCTTTCCTCATCAATTTATGATGAAAATGTTTTTATTTATGTAAAGGGAAACACAAATTTCAGGTGGCAGGTGATAATTCCAAATCTATAAGTATTACAGAATATAATGCAGTGCAGAGTTTGCATGCCTGTAATATACACCAGAGTCCATTTGGAAAACTACTAATTATAATATACACCGGAGTCAATTTGGAAAACTAATAATTGTAATATCCACAAGAGTCCATTTGGTAAACTATTAACTATATTATATTATATTACTATTATATAATATGAAAACTACTAATTATAATATAAACCAGAGTCCATTTGGAAAACTACTAATTATAATATACACCAGAGTCCATTTGGTAAACTACTAACTATTACATTATATATTATTATATAATATGAAAACTACTAATTATAATGGTGTATATTATAATTGGTGGATTTCAAATGGAATCTGGTGTATTGTATAATTATTTGTTTTTAAATGGACTCAAAAAAAACATTTATTTGTTTTTAAATGGTCTATATTATAATAAGCAAAACACATTTTTGAGGGGAGGAGACATTTACTATGGGTAACAAACCCTTTAACTGCAGGGTCAATGGCTTTTTAGACTGAGGAAACCATTTATAAACAGATTACCAACAATATAGACGTTTTTTCACAGATGTTTAACTTACAAGAGAGCCAGTGAAGTACAGTCTGTACAATCACACAGTCCTGACAAGAGGTCTAATCAGGCCAATTGAAAACACCGGTGTTGATCTACCAATCCCATTTAAAATACTGCAGTTAAGGTAAAAAATGTTTGACAATGAAATGCACTTTGGCAGCCTGCATTGCCTTAGTGGCTTTCAGTGTTGTATTGTCATAATACATTACTTTTATCTGATGGTATTGCTACTAATCGCTTTGTAGATTTGGGTTATAAAGGCAACAGGGAAGAAAGTGCATGCCAAATGTCGTCATTAAATCTCATTAATGGTTTGGTTTGCACCACCTGCAACATTAAAGTACTGCTTGTGTGATTACCACGTGTCACATCAGTCAAATGTCAACATTGTTATCTTTAACTTCAATGTTTTTAATAGGATAAATCGCATGGTATACCTGAACAGGTGTTCTCCCTTTGCCATATTACACCTCTTGCCAGGACTGTGTGGTTGTGTATAACCTGTACTACCTGACTGAGTCTCCTGTAAGTTTTGTTACACCTGTTATTGATACATATACCGCTGCTTAGCTCCAACCAACTTCAACCTGAGCAGAAGTCCATTTTTTACATTGTGATATAGCTACTAGAATATAACAAAGACCCTGTAAAACTGACCACACAGAAATTCATATTCTTGCAAAAGTCCTGCAACCTTCTAAGTAGCACGTCAGTAATTTCTCCATACACCTATAGACTGATATAGGTCAAAAGTTGGTACATACAACAGGACACAATGTCTAAATTAAAAAGCATGCCTTTTTATTTCTTGAATATATTGAAGTGGTGTTTTTTCCCCCCACTCTACTCAGGTAGGCACACCTTGCACGCTGCTTTTCTTCAGAGGTGAGAGACATTGCACAAGGCACTTTAAATTCTGCCACTCTCTCAGCCTCGAGGCAGCACAAAGGACATCAATCCACTGAGGCTACTTATAAACAGAGGCCAATATGAACCGCACAACCCCGTACAGCTAAATACTTTTAGTACATTCAGACTTTAAATAGAATCATATATTCATACACGCACATCTCACATCAGTAAAAATCATACTAGCATGATATTTGTACAGACCTGCTTCAATTGCTTAAATGCACAGTTTTCTAAAACAATAGACTTGTCCTTGAAAGATGAAACAATCATCTAATGATGATCAAAATGAAAGGTGACAGTCATCAAAGACAATCGCAGCACAGAGCTCGACATAAATGGGGAAAACCTGCATGTCCACATCAGCCATCACCTGGCATCATATCTGACTGTGTGAGGAACATTTCCCGTTATGCTAGGCCTGTTTGACAGAATCAACCCTTCTTCAGGAGGGTGTATACCCAAGATTAGTGTTATAAACCACTGGGTATGATCAACCAGGTAGGGCCTGAATGGTAAAAGGTAGCTCAGAAATTAGGTTCTTACTCCATGTAAGACGTATAATGCCAATTACGCATCTTAAATTTGGTCTCAGAATCACATTTTTAGTAGTGCATTGCTCAGGGTTTGTGAAAGATCACAGGGTGAAACGTGGGGGAGAAAACATTGTGTGACACGAGCAGAACATCAGCAGCATGTGAGTTGAAGATAAGACTGTAGATCATCGCAGAGTGACGGGGGGTGTGGCGTGACAGCAACATGGCAAACACAGCTGGAAAAAGAACTCCTGCTTTTTCAGCTCCTCCGGGATTTTGAGTGCTGGATGAGCCACTGAAGTGTGATATCTGGAATCAAAAGGAACATGCTAGGTCAGTCCAAGGATCGCTTTATGGCTCTGATGACTCAGCATAACTTACTAACAACAAACGATATGATAGCATACAGATTTAGCTTCATAGATCCCCATCAATACACTATTATATTTAGTGCATGCCGTAATGATTCCCCTCACTTCTACTTCATGTGATGACAGGTTTGGTGTAAGAAGTGAAAGTGACACAATGAAACCAGATGTTTTTGAACAAATAAAATGTTATTGTGATTCTCATAGCAATGGTAAAATAAAAATCAATTCATTAAAAAATACTTGCTGTGTACTTATGTATCATTAATGTAATAATCAACATAATTTCAGTTTCCTTAATATAGCCCTAGCAGTGTTGTATTTGCATCTTTATAAAACATAACAAAGAAAACAGTCCTGTTTCTGCCTCATCTTTGACTGATGTTCCATTGTGGTGTGGTTTTATGAGAATATCAACAGCACATAAAAAATAATTTCTCACAAGTGACATCAAAAATGTAATAATAATAATAATAATAATAATAATATTATTGTGAACAATCTAAACAGCAGAGGCCGAGATATCCTGACTTTCAGTCTCTATTATGCTGTATCCTACAATTCTCATAATACCACTCAATAGCGTCTTTTATTAAATCAGCAGGGTCATTTCTTCCGACTTTGGAAAGCTGCTCCTGTGCCACATAAGATAAAATGTTATTACTTCTCTCATCTGTATATTTAAGCTGCTTAGAGAGAATTGTTAAAGTGGGGGTGACAGATTTCCCCCTATCCTGAGTGGAAATTAGGCCTTTGAATGAACACAAAATGATCCCGCAGTCATTAACTACAGCTCACCAATGTTGTCTTTCTCTTTGCAGGAAATGGAGTAGCAGCATATCTCTCTGTCCTGAATAGCTGCGAGATTCCTGTGAGTAGGGGGGGAAAAAAAGGTGCATAAACAACTAAGTGTATAGTCAGACTGATCACCAGCCTCATTCATCTGCAGCACGTGGGACACAGTTGAAGGTGTGAGCGCAACTCTCAGCACTTGACAGCAGAGGGAGCCAGTTCCTTATCGTAAACGTCAACTGAACAGCTCATGTTTTAACAAAAACCACTTCCTCTTCTTTAACAAAGAAAAGGAAATGGTTGTGATTTTTTAACCTGTCATTAGCATAAAGGTTGTTCAACTGGTGTGAGACTGCAGAACAAAAACAGATATTAGTAGTTTTAATATGTACAGCGAGATTTGAAAATAATATTCTAATTTTAAATCTCAATCTCTCTCTTTTCATGACAGAAAGAATCCACAGTGCATCGTCGTACATTTTAAATGACAGAACTGTAGATTCAGCTGTAATACGTTGTGTCATTTGCACCATTTGTCATACTTACATTTTTTCAATGAGCTGCTTCTCATCTAAAGCACTGGGAAGATCCCTTTTGTTACCAAGTACCAACACCTACAAAATACACAACAGTTGAAATCTGCAACTGCTGCAAGTAATCGATGAACCCACACACAGTTTTGCATGACTGGTGCAGGAATCACAAAAAGCTTTAAACTGATTGATAAACTGAACACTTACAGGAATTCCTTGCAACTGAGGTTTGTCTAATAAATTGTGAAGCTCATTTCTAGATGCCTCCACCTTTTCTCGATCTGCTGCATCAACCATGTACCTAAAAAAATTTGATAAAACAATTGGTAAAATGTGTTTTATATGCATTTATACTATGTTTAGTTCAACTCCAAGCAAGGGTTTGATTTCCACTAATTTGTTTTTCAGACTAACTTGAAAATCGAAACTGCAATACTCACACGATTGCATTAACTCCCCGACAGTACCGCTCCCACATGCTCCTGAACCTCGGCTGCCCACCTATATCCCAGATCTACAGAATTAAGGGCACATCATCACATGGTGTTGCTGTTTCAAATGTCATTAACAATGCAATTGTTGCTTCCTTGTAAAACCAGTGTGCTGGGTTTATGCTGGTTATGCTGGTAAGTAATTACATTTTCAATGTGATCACAGCAGAAAGATTAAAAATACCTTGATGGTGACGTTTCCTTTGGTGACCTTCCTCATGTTGAATCCAACTGTAGGGATCATGTCTTCACTGAAATGCCCAGACTGAAAGGAAAAACACGTAAACAAAAGTATAAGTCATTTCTTATTGAATTTTGTTTCCTTCGATTGATGAAAATATCACTGCAGTTTACTGTAGAGGGGAGGTGTGGGGAGGGATGGGCATAGCATAGCATACTGAAGTAGCATATATCCACTTCGCGCACACATTTTAAAAACAGCCATACTACGAAATTAGAAATGTTTCAGCCCAGTAAAAAGGACAGAGAAACAACTGCAACAGTGTAATTATCACTCAGCTGCATCATACATCCATAATAAAGTGTACAGGAAGAACTCCAGTAAAAGGAGTAGGACTCATATTTTTTGCATCTTTGTGTAATTGTTAGAAAACAATGTAACATAACTATGACATGATGCATGGCCTGGGATCTCTTCGTACTTTTACACTTTTATATACTTTTATTAACAACTAAAGTGCCTGTGCGGTAATTTTTGAATAAAGTCTAGTACTGCTCATTACACAAAGTTTAAGATTTAAATTATGTCTAAAATGAGTTGATAAAAATGTCATTTTTTGAATTAGTTCATTAAAGTGTTGTTCCTGCAGTCGCAGGTGTTTAAAGGGCTCTCTGAGTGGAATAATGTACCTGTAAATATTCGGTCCACATCGTCTTTCCACCTGTTATTATAGGATAACTTGTGCACATGTCCATAAAAACACCTCATATAATTATGTTCCATAAGTTTATTAGTTAATGCTATCCCTGACATCCATACTCTTATAATCTATTAATGATGATCCATTTTCATGCTCTGCTTGTAGTATGATCTCCGGATTTTCATTTCTTATTATTTGATACTTGATTTGTTTTATTGTTGTTTTTTAAAATCCCAGTGGATATCGTTTCATTATGTTGGTATTTCTGTTTTTGTGAAATGTTTTCTCCAATTGTGTATATTTTGTATTACTGTTGTTGAGGAACACCTTGATGGTACATCTCAAGGTGTTATTCCTAATAATTTCATGCTGTAAAAATCTAGTTTCTGTGCCCAAACCTATGAAAAAGCAGGGAGCAGGAACTGTGAAAAGCAAACGTGCTCTTAAAATGAAAAAAAAAAAAAAAAAAAAAATCACTTTCCACCCCAGTGACAAACAAGCTAAATACAGGTTCTCCACATGTTCTGGTTTTTGTGAATGCTCATTACTACAAACTGAAGTGGGAAGAAATAAAACCACTTCAGCATACAGAAACAGTGGCATTCCCCTTTAACATCAAAACTCACAGGCTGTTTATATTCCTTTTCCCTGCTTTGTAAAGCCGAGAGCATGCCCTGTCGGTTGTACGCACATTTCACAGCACATGACTAGCAGGAGTCACCTGATAAAGCTAAGTGGAAATGTGTGTAGCAGTCTTATGACTGAGAAAGGAGGAACTACCCACGCTACAACCTCTCACTCTCTTTTTTTAACAACCCTGTTATCTGATGCCAGGAGCGCCCAGATATCTGATTTGAAAAACTGACATTTTCTGTACACACACCCTCTTCTTTTAAACTCTCCAACGTTGGTAGCAATAGTTTCTGCCTAGTAAAAGTTCCACCAGTTTCTTTGGTGACTGTGCTATTGATATTTAAACTTTTTTAAACACTTATGATCAATTAATTCATCTACTAATAATTTTCTTGATTCATAGTTGTACAGTCAATTAAATCTCTTAAAAAATGTGACAAATACACAGAAACAGGCACAGTTTCCTAAAGCCCAAAGTGACGTCTTAAAATAGTAAAAGGTGTGTGTGTGTGTGTGTGTGTGTGTGTGTGTACAAAATGTTGTGACTAACAAAGCCATGGAACTTTCAAGCTCTTTTGTCACAATATAAGCTGCTAAAATTTCAGTTGCTGTGGAGCAATTAGCCAATGAAAATTGCTCCACCAGAAACAACAGTTTTGAGAAACCCCTCGCAGAATTGCACAAGGGGAATGGCTTGACAAACAGATGCCCTCAAGCCTCCAGTCACAGGAGATCACAGCAAAAGATACGTCTGCGTGCCTTACATCACAATTTGCATCTAAAGCTAGTGTAGTAGGAGTCATGTCAGACGATTAGACATCAACATGTGTTTATGCTATACTACACTTAACCGACCAATGTTTATAAACAGTTAGTCTAGTCACCTCTGTTGGTGTGTTGAAGGAATCTGTCACTTTTTTACAGCCAACAACTGTTTGCTCTAAATCAAGTTACAACAGTCTGTATTGGTTATCAGTGAGCCAGCTGCAGTTTTGTCTCTTTGTAACAGGTTCTTAAAATCTTAAGCATAATTAGTTTGTTTTGGAGTGGAGGTCAGTGGTCTTGCTGCTTTCGTCTGATTCTGTGAGATTAGCACACCCCATTCATTTGAAAGAATGTGGCATTAGGAAATAAAAAGCATCCTTATTTAAAAACTATATATATTTATTGGACTATATTCACACATTTATAATTTATTTCATAGCCATGTTTATTCATTCACGTATTTATTTATTTATTTAACATTGACTTATGGCACTTTATAACTTCTTGCAGGAGACCTGTGTTGACACACTGTGTTGTAATGTGGATGTTTGGCTGCTGTAATGGTCAGCTTGTTTTTAAGTTAACCTCCTGGAGGCAGAAAAACGCTTAGAGCTTTTAACACTTGTGCAAAATGACCCCACCGTCTGGAGGAAATAAAAAAAAAAAGTAATGTGGACAGGTGTTGTAAATTGCACATAAACACGTTACAGTGCACCTGGTGCTGGTGCATAATTGTATGTTGCAGCCCCGATATTATTGCTGTGCCCACGTCCCAAAAACAAATCAACTTAACTGAACAACAAAGCAAATGCAATGTTATAAATTCTGTGTTTGAGCTTAGCATGCTAAACAATCACCACAAATAAGCAAATCCACCAGCAGCAAACTAACGTTAGTTAGCTCAGCTGACTTGTTGACACAAGTCCAACAACCTGACTGAGTTTCAGGTTTGTTTTTTTATGGGTGCTGCGGTCGCAACAGAGCAACGTTACATCGTTTTTGGACCCGAAAAACGCAGACAGCGTAGCACTGACCTAGCTTTGTAACCGGTTATCCCATTATTAGCGCTAATGGTGTTAGCACTAACATAGCAAGGTGGCTAGCGGCTGAAGACTTGACTTACAGCGATCACGTTTACAAATGTTGTTTTCCCCGAGTACTGGAGGCCAACCAGCGTCAGCTCCATCTCCTCCTTCCAGAACAGAGACCTGAACCAGTCCAGAAGCCGGTTTATTAGTGCCAGCATCTTGAGGTCGGTGTTCACACTCCCCTGTGGTTGTATCTGTCTCTCCCTCCCTGTCAGATGTGGCGTTGTGTCCAGCTAGGAAGGGAAGTGGGACGCTGTCATATGATCAGTCTGCCTGAACGTGCCCGGGAGCGCCCCAAGTGGCGCAGGGAGAAAACACACCCAGTCTACATGTATTTTGGACAATGTGGAGGTTAACAAAGGGTTTAACCTAAAAAAAAAAATGCAATGTACATATATTTCAAATTAAACCCACACCAGTCTTATGCTGTTCTCCCAGCAAACAAAACAAACATTCACAGTACAGTACAAATAAGTTTTTTTTTCTCTGTCTGCCAGGATTGACAGGATAGTAATCTGTAACCACAAACTACAGGGCTTGGCTCCAGTATGTCATGTGGTGTAGATGGTCTCATTTAACCATGTGTGTTTGTTTGTTTTTTGGTGCATACAAATATACAATAGCTTATTAAAATTATAGATTAGCTGGCTAAAACACCTCACTGTATAATACACCCTGTGTAATACAACGCTTTATTGCATGTATTTTGCAATATTTACATTTTAACATAGCAAGAGAAGAAGCTATAAGATAACATAAGATAATATAGACTTTTATTTATTGCATTAAATACAGTAGTTATGTGTACACCTGTATAACAAGCCTTTGTGATGTTGTAACGTTTTTAAATAGAAATTGATACAAAACACTTTTCCTGATACAAAGATAAAATGAGAAGATTATTTCTAATTGGTCAGCATAGGGTGAAGGTTAGATTTTTCTTTTATAGTCAGTGAGTGAAAAGAAGGGGGGTTAAAAGCCTATTTATTTTAATTAATAGTGTATAGTAGCTCATGTAAAGAAATATTTAAATGGTTACCTGGATGATGTATTTTAGAAGGCACCTGAATGAGTCCAATAAAACTAACTTACTAAATAATGCAAAAACCTCTATCAACATCTATGAATGTGTCACATCAAAAGGAGAAATTCAGACCAGTAGAAAGTAAATAACGTTTTTGAAAAAAAAAATTATTTTGCAATTTCAAATCCAGTGATGCAAATTATAATTCATCTTTAGCTTTTGTCCTGGATGTAATATAACTTGGTCTTACTAATCAGTTAGTATTGGATTACATTACATTCATTTGGAAGGTGCTTTTGCCCAAAGCTGAACAGTGTTTTTGTCCTCCACATACACCAGGAAGAAGAAAAGGACACTTTTCATTGAGCAAGTGAACAATAAACACAGACAAGAAACTACTTGTTATATAATATTCTTAGGGGGCTTGATTGATGTAACAGGGAAAGCTACAGGTCTATCTTGAAATCATTAGCTGACCCTACAAGTGTTCACTGACCTTCCAGTTCTAGTTATTTCTCACTTGTAACTGTCCTTGAGAGGCAACAGTTAAACTGAGAAGGTAGAGACAGTACCTCAGGCGTCAGGCTAGCAGATATCTGTGTTCTCTGAGAAAATGGCAATGTTGAATCTTACATGAATGTTTACAAGAACTTACTGGCTCCACAGATTAGAGCAGACAGACAGAAACATAAAAGGGACCAAAAGATGTTATGCTTCAGATTTGGTGTTGGCATTTGACATGTTCACATTATACGCTGGCACTGTATCTCCTCCACCGGGCTCAATAAGCCATACTATGACTTCATCAGTCTCACCTGAACCTGGCACACAATATTTATTCAACAAATCATCTATGTTCTTCAGCGCCCTTAATTATCATTATCAGAAGACAAAAAAAGAGAGTTGGGATCTTTGGAACATCTATATATTCATGAACACAGTTGGACACACACACACACGGACACAGTTGTTAATCATTTAGAGTTTCACATCAATATTTACCATTTCTTACTATTTTCATACGCTACACTAACGTTATATACATTATAAAAATATATTATAATTCATACGTTACACACAATCAAACCTGCACATGTAATCTGTTGACCACTGAGTAGCTCTGCTGGAGCAGATGGGGGGTGCCTTGCTAAAAGGCACCTCAATATTGGCAATGAGGACGGAATAACTGCCTAGATTTGTCCTGATAAAGATCTAACCATGGACTTTTATCTCTAACCTTAACAGGTTTCTCTTACCGAGCAAGATGCTTTGTACCACATTAATATTATTATACTACTTGTGGTTGAACAGACTGACCATGTCATCTTAGACGTCTTTGTTAAGAAACAGTGACTTTTTCCAGATGCAGGAGGCAAAAACTGTTCCTGTTCATGGATTCATCCTTCATGATGAGCCCGAGCCCACTCTCCTCCTTTGACAGGTGAAAGTCATTGGTACTGGTGAAGCCTGTGACGATGTCGATAGGATTATTATCTGAAGCAAAGAGAATAAAGGCAAACAACATTTTTTTAAATCAGTAGCATCATCAAATATTGACAGCAGTCTTGTAATTTATCTTTCCCTACAAATCACCTACACTCACACTCTCGCACACCACATTGAATGTTCAGTTTCATACAGCAATTTCATATATTTGAAGTATTTTAAACATGTAATTATTGCTGATGCTGCTTACTTTTTAATGCACTGCTAGAAAAAATCAAGTCAATTAATATTCAGGGATATCAATTTGTCCAGTTAGGAAGCATGAGCGATTGTGAACCAGTGTTACTTGTTTTGGTACAAATGAAAGTGACACAACAGGTGTAACCAGCAAGCCATCAGCAAGACAACTCCCACAAATGGAATGGTTTTGCAGATGGTGGCCACAGTTTCCAGTAAAGTCTCTAGTGTTTCAGGTATCAAAACAGCCTGTTGCACTGAACAACATCTGGTGCACTGAGCTGTCAGTCAAACACTCACTTAGCCAATGTGGATGCACCCCTCAAAAGCCCGCCTATGCAAGACTTTGTGTCAGAGCTGTAAACAAAAAGTCAGGCAGCACAAATGAGAAAGCTGGCAGCATGACCCCAAAGCTGACCGTGAGAGCAAAAGTCTGATCAGTGAGAAAGCAGCAGAGGGAGCTGTAAACAAAAGCACTTATTATCAAAAAAACGTAAAAGCCCAATGTTGTTTGCAAGTTATACATCTTACTTGAGATAATTTGTTTTTTCTTCATTGTGTTTTATTCGCTTTCAAATTATTATTTTTTGTTTGATTTTACAAAAGCTTTGGTTTTTTAAATTGGTACACATCTGATTCCATACAACAGGCAGTAAAGCGGGAGAATATTTACACAAGTACACATACAAAATACAAAATACTTTTTGTTTCAATTTCTACTGTCCATTTTATTTTTGTTTATAGTGTGGATATATGTGTTCTCTATACTGCACATACAATAATATATAATATATTATATATTATAGATTTTTTCTAGCAGTGCATTATATAATATATATAATGCACATACCTGGCAATAAAGCTGATTCTGATTCTGATTTCTGATATATCTTGATTACTTTGCAGAGATCCGCTTTCGCTTGAGCATTAGAGAGTCTTTTCCTGTCGATTGGCATCCAAAAAAAGGCCATTTTAAGTGTACTTTTTAAATCAGTTTTAAAAAAGTCACATTACTCAGTTGCTGTTACCAATTAATGCCATGAGTTATTGATGTCAAGCCTGTGATTTATGGTAATAAATGAAATCAACATGTGCTGATATGTTAATCATGATACTGTATGTATTTCCATTAAGACCCACTTACGTGAATTTTGCTTCCTCAGGTTCTTTATAAAGGCATGAGATAGAAACACAAGGAGGGTGAGAGAAAGCAAAACAAAGCCGATGCCAAGGAGCACGCTGATGAAGTCTCCACCTTTTATGTGCGTCTCTGGTGAAACATCAAATCATGGTCAAGTTAGTTCAATTTACCTATATTATCATTATGTGTACTGCAGAGCAAAAATAATTATTTTGCATGCACGTAATGCCAGATGATGAAAAAGATGATAGTTTCTGTATGTCTACATACCATGTTCAAAGCAAACTGCATTGTGGCTTTTGTTGCCTGGAAACTTTTCAATACTGCACCTGTTGACCAGAAATATTTTATGTTACTGTAATTTGACATTTCATGGGGAATTATTTTGTAGCAGAAGTCTCTTGAGGTCTTACTGTGTTCTTGGCTTGCAGACATCCTCTTTCACATCAAAATATGCATTATCAGGGCATGAAGGCTCACACTGATATGAATACTTTATCAGACCTTTGCTTGAGGAAGTGACTGCAAAGATAGATAGATATATGGATAGACAGACAGACATGATAGCATGCAACGCACGTAAGTATAGCCTCATAGAGTGGCTTGCGTTTCAGTCCAACCACAGCTTGCTCTGTGCATGACTCCAGTCTGTGACATTAAGTATGTTTTGTGGTCCCCTTAACAAAGATCATCATTGAGATTAATGTCTGATAACAGAACAGAAACACGTGCCAGCCAGCAGTTCAGTCAGCATTTTGTAGGACTCAAATTTTGGCAAACATGTTGACACTAAGCTTTCTTGACATTGTTATGAAGATCTCTTCTGTGACTCACTGAACGTACTAGCAGTCACAAAGGATCACTGACATTTTAAAATAACACCTGACAACAATTTGGTACAACCACACAACTTATCAAGAGAAGAAAGTGAGATGGCAGCGTCAATCCAGCCTACATTTCTGGTACATAGAGCAATGTATTACCCACATTTATTTCCACTTTCAAACATTGAAACCCTCTGGCATGACACCCACAAATAAACAAAGAAAACAGTAATTGATGGATTCAAACCAAAAGTGTGAAAGCATTAATTCACTTAAAAAAAAACTGCAACCACAACTTGTTTCTTTCATACATGTACATTCTCACCTGTTCTCTTCAGTTTCTCCCCGGTGACACATTTGTTTTCCTCACAGTGTGAGCAGAGATTGTTGGAGCACAGGAAACCAAAGTGGCAGGAACAGTTAGCATTTGTGGTCGGCATACATTTCTGAGTATACCCTGTAGAAAGACAAGAATTTAAACCACAGGACTGTTTTTTCTTTTATCCACTACATGAAATGCTGTGTCAACATCACAGGCAGGTGTTTCACTAGAGATCCCCAGAGAGCAGGGTTACCATATTTTTAAAGTCAAACCTAGCGTTATTTTCAGTCTCACCTTGTTGGCATGACTGGCATTCCTCACATCTGTCAAAGACGTTAGGATGGCTTGAGTAGTAGCCCTCCTCACAGGTGTTACAGACAGTTTGCTGGTGCTCTGAGCAGAACGCCGTCATGTATGTACCTTCAAAATAAGAAACAAATTAAATTAGTCACTCTCAAAAATAAGGGCAACATACACACTGAATGAAACCTCTCAGCTTATGTGATAAAGACAGTGGAATGATTAGATGAAACAATTTAACAGATGTATACAAAACACATTTTATCTTATTTTAAAGAAGAATTATCCGTTTTACCTGGGAGACACAGGTTACAGCACCGGCCATTTATTAAAGTTTGTTGATCACCACAGCCTGCAGCGTATTCTATAGTCCAAAAACTCAAAACACATATTACCGCCAGGGAAAGGCTCAGAGGAATCATTATGACCACTGCTCTGCTCGTGCCTTCATGGTTTTATCTAGCCTGTTGCTGACGTCAGATGGTAGTGTGGTTAGCTCGAGGAGAGACATTGTGTGATACATGTACACTAATTCAGGAAGCGAAAGACCACTTGTAACTATTGGTAACATATGTTGCAGAAAAGGAAATAAAGCAATTTCAGTTCAACCACCTGTCTGCACACTAAAAGTGCACTACAGAAACATTTTTGTAAAACTCTTACTCTTTTATAAATTGAATGCGCCCACAGATTTCAGGTTTGGTCACAATAGTAGTGCATGGTCCACTCGTCTCTGATTTCCAGTGTTTATTATTATTATCTGTGAAGGCTTCTTTCCTAGATAGACACAAGGGATAGCTCACAAGTCGAACTACTAAAGAACAGGTAAGAAATCTAGTGTTCTTTCCACCTAACCTTGGTGGTATCTAGTCATTCAGATATCTGATGTCTTTGCGGAGGTATTGAGATATCCATACCTAAGACTTTAAAAACTTGCTTTTTGTAGCAAAGTGTGAGAAAAGGAAGTGGAAAAATATTTTTGCATGTAATTTACATGTCTACATTCTTATTTATTTTATTGTTTATTTAACAGGGACAATGTATTGTACCAGATATAGCTAAACGTTCATCTGTAGCCACTGGTGATCCAGAAATCAGTATTTCTGTACCCATGTGTGTTAGAACTGGTTATGGTGGTCAAGACCACATTTAGGAAGCACGTAACTGGAACTTAATTGTTCTCTATGGAAAGTGTGTGTATAAATAACACACCGCAAGCTGACATTGTCAAGTGACGTATATAATGCTTCCAAATGCTCCTCCGGTGTTTTCTCTTTGTTTATGTACTCAAAGTTGATTAGTCTAAAGCACAATTTGACACTAATACTGTTGCAGGGCAGAGTGCTGTTTCCTGGCAAATACAACACACTGTTGACTAGATCTGAAAAGATCAGTAGATAAAGTGACAGAAACTGAGTCACTAGCAATTATGAAAATCGATTTAATTATTTAAATCAATTCTCAAGAAACAATGCCAAATATTTGCTGGTTTCCACTTTGATTTGAAACACACAATTTATAGGATCTTTTGTTTTTCTCTGTTTAATATCATTGTAGTGTACTGTTGATTGCACAAAACAAGCAATCTGTGGACATTACCTTTGGCTCAGGAAACCTGCAATAGATATGCGTTTAGCCTTCTTATATGTTTCTTGCATTCTCTTATTCTCAGACCACACTATTAATGTATAATCATAAAAGAATCAACAGATATATAACAATAATTGGTGGAGCCTCATCAAGGTGTTGTGTGTTCCAGGAAAACATCGCTGAATGAATGATCTGATCACTCTGATGTATCCACACTGACTCATTCTGAAAGCAAGTAAGTAAGTGATTAATATTGACACATGACTTGTGGTCCTGTTAACTTTTGAACAGCCTGACTGTGGTCATCATTTGCATGGATTCCTTTTAATGTGCTTCTTTCTATAGATTTATGTGAGAGGACACTTTGAATTATAGTAGCCTACAATGCAGAACACCAAATTCTTCAAATGCCTCTGTCATTCACACTCTCTCACAACCACGTGTCTGAAATCTCCTTCAGGATCTGACATCACCACAGACGTACTTATACGTAGTTCTCCAATTCTGTGTGAAGCGTCATTGAATGGCCACAAATGTAGACACTGTAGGTAGCTACATTGTCCCACCCACTCTGCGGGTGTTGTGGTGAGTGTGAGTGGCAGACGTGCTGCTACTTTTTGCGCTATGATGTAAAAGCCTACTAAAGGTTAAGGTATGACATTTGAGGGCACTGAATACAGAAGCACCTGATGCATCACCTGACACTACAAATCCTTCTGTCACAGAGCCTCTCTGGAGGGAGTTGTGTGGGGTCTGATAAATTGCCTCAAGTGATGTGACTTTCTGTGTAGTTAGAAAGAAGTGATCTTACCTCTTTAGTCTGCTACTAGCATAACACACCAGAATCCCTGACTGGGTTGTATTGTGGGTAATATAAGCGACTGGTTTGGACATGGTTTTGATTTGATTTTGATTTTTTTTTAAGAAACTGTCACTGTCACAATGTTACAGACATGTAATGCTAAACTGACAGACTACTCTATTAAAATGCCTCTACGAAGAGATCACAATTACTTAAATACAGATTACTTGTTTGCATGAAGATAAAGGAAGACTCCTTTTTATAGGCAATGAAAAGCCCAGTTAAAAGCCCAGTCCCAATTATACACCTGTCCCTTTAATTGGCCTGGTGTGGCTACACATTTTGACAAATAAACGCAGGTCTCAATTAGACAACTGGTCTGGTGTTTATAGAAGTTTGGATATGGATGGATAAAACCTTGTTTGTGGACCTTGGATGTTCAGTGTGTATGTTTTTGTGGCATCTAGTTGTGAGGGTTGAGAATTGCAACCAATGACTCAGTCACCGCTCACCCCTCCCTTTGAAAGTGCACAGGAGAAGCTACTGTGGCCGATACTCTCTGTCAGCTAAAAATGTAATTATGTATATTATATTGCATTTCTGTCAAAAGATCCTCCTAAATATCACACACTGAACCTTACAAAGACCACCGGGTCGCCCCTTTGAGCTGGTTCTAAGCTGCTTATATTGTACATACAAAATGTTTATGTCAATACGGACATGCTACACATCATTAGATCGTCCAACGAAGGTTAAAATCAAGGGCAACTGGACTTGGTTGAAGATACTGGAAGACGTTTCGTCCCTCATCCAAAGGACTTCTTCAGTTCTGACTGACTGGCAGGGAAACTCAGCTATTTAACCTCAGTGGGGTCGTTATCCCGGGTCATCGATACCGCTGGTTCGTTAGTGTTCCTTGTTGCTGTGACGACAGTCGTTACAGTCGTTAAGACTACCTGTGGCCAAGACTGAACGACCATCGTTGGTATCTTCACCTGAGGCCAATAGGTTACGTTTGTTGAGTTTCAACAAACGCATGGCTCAACACAGAAGGGCCAACTCCTCAGGTCAAGACTCTGCAGTCTACTTACATTTGAAGGACAGAGGACACTCGTTTGAGGACCACCAGGTGCACATTTTAGACAGAGAAGATGGATGGTTTGAAAGAGGTGTCAAGGAAGCCATCTACACCAGGGTCGAGAAGCCGTCATTGAACAGAGGAGGGGGTCTACGCCACCACTTATCCCCCACTTACAATGCTGTCCTTTCATCACTTCCCAGGAAACTCAACAAACGTAACCTATTGGCCTCAGGTGAAGATACCGACTATGGTCGTTCAGTCTTGGCCACAGGTAGTCTTAACGACTGTAACGACTGTCGTCACAGCAACAAGGAACACTAACGAACCAGCGGTATCGATGACCCGGGATAACGACCCCACTGAGGTTAAATAGCTGAGTTTCCCTGCCAGTCAGTCAGAACTGAAGAAGTCCTTTGGATGAGGGACGAAACGTCTTCCAGTATCTTCAACCAAGTCCAGTTGCCCTTGATTTTAACCTTCATTGGATAACTATGACCTGGATGACTGAGAATCTTCATAGTCATCATTAGATCGGTTCAGTCATACAGTTCATTTTACCAGGAGCACCAAAGTACAATTCATTCAGATTTAGATGGTGAAGAAGAGAGACAGAAAAAAGTTGTGACTCGGTAGCCTAATTTTTATTAAGTAAGTGATTAATGATTAGTGATTAAGTACTATTCATACTGGTTTGATAGTAGCCTATATCTCATCTTTGCTGAGCAAGAGTTTTGTGGTAAAGGAATTAAAGGACTGTCTCATAGACGCCTGTCCCAGATATAGGCCTTATACATACAATGAGTTCAGTGATTAAAGCAAATAAAACCTTTACATAAATAAAACCTTTACATAATTAAAAGCACATACAAAAGGAGATTAGCACCTGCAACCCGTCTAACAAAATGTAAAACCCTATATGATATGTATATGTACTAAGGATGTGTGTTATCTTTCAGTTGGTGGCATTTATTCTTTTTATTTGATGAGTAACTTTGCTGTACTTTACGAGGCAGCAATTTCTTCAAAGCCCTAAAAGGGTTTGGTATTTCTTTGAAACCACACCAACTTCCTGGATACTGAAAGCATCTGCACTGTTTACCATGTATGTGCATACTCTCAGTAACAAAGGCTCATACTCGGTTAGTTGTACAAAAAGCCACGTGTATTTAAAAAGTCTTTATTCACACACTCTCAGGGCATCACAGAGAATAAATATCAGAGTCAAAATATTTGACAAAAAATGTGCTATACAATAAGAGTCAGATAGAAACTAACCTCTTACATAAAAGCAGTGTCCAGTTGGGGCTTCTTTTACATTTCAGATGTCTATGAGTTGATAGCAGTTAACAAAAGACACTTCCCCTCTAGACTTCTCAGATTTCCCTTAAATAAGTCTTCAAATGATCAAATATTTCACACAAAAACAGAGAAACGTACAAAAACTGACAACAGATTTGTGCATCAGAACTTTTTCTTATTTTCCTACCCAATTAATCATCTTACAACAACCTTAGATTTATCTGGTGACCCTTTTGAAGGGACCGGACCCCTAGATTGGGAACCAAAGACAGTCACTCCCCCTCAACCAGCGACAACAGTAAAATGCTGCATGCACATTGATGCATCAGTATTAACAATAATAATATGTGAGGTATGATATATATTGTCCATTTTTCTGCAGAAAGAGTTTACTGTTATTACCTTGAAACTGTTTCTCGAAGAAGATTTTAAAGGTAGCATTTTAACTTGTAACAGAGTATTTTTACAGTTCTGCCTTGGTTTTTTCACTTGAGTAAATGATCAGGGCCGCTGTTTTTACCTGAGTAAGAAATTTCATTTCATTTCAGAAGTATTCCAACAGATGGCGCTGTCAAAGGAACCAATGAGTTGGAACCACACTGCAGCTTTTTACAAGTAAATCCTTCTAGTCACAAAGAGCCAGCCAGGTACACCCCACACTAGCTGTGATTTGAAGGCTTATGTATCCAATTTCTTCTTAAAACATAACTTGAATGAGGGCATGCTTTCATAACTCCTCTGACTTACTCATCTGGGGAAAGTACCAAGTGAGCCATAAACAACATGAAAGTCCTCACATTTAACATCGATCTTTCCAACGGCTGAAGTGAAAACATGAGAGGAGGTATCGCTCGGCGGGGAAAAGAGACACATTTGACTCCACAAGGAGAACTCCCCCAACCCACATAATTTTAACAGACCTGCTACCAGTGGAACAGAGCTGAAGAAACAAAACATGACAAAAATAGAAACATAGCATGAAGGAAGTAAAATCTTGTTCTAAGGCTCTGCAGCAGTTCAAAATAGTTTTTAAACAGTATTCATTCTTACTGCCTTTACTACAATATTGTTCACACTGTATATTTCTCAGAAATGTGTCACTTTCCCCATTAAACTATATAACATATAACAAGTGGGAAATATTTATATGTGCATTTTTGAAGGACTGTATGTAATATAGTACTATAAGGTGTTTAGTGGCATGAGCTCTGAGGTCGTTGTACAAAGACCTGCATATCCAAATTTGTAATAAATATTAACATACAAAGTGAATGTTTTGTGTAATACATGATCGTATGATCATTTGGTATGATCAATCCAAAGAAGGCATAACCTACTTGAATTACAGTTAACAACGAAAAGTGATGTAAGATACATAGAAATCTTTCATATAATTCTCCCATTATTCTATCACAACAGAACAAACAAAAGTCAAATATTGACAACACTGCAGATTGTGAATACACCTGGTATACAGTAAATAGTTTTTCTGATGTATTTTCTAATGAAAAACCAACTATTTAAGGAAAATATAAGTGATCAGTCTGAAATTATTCATGTGATAATTTTCTGATCTTAAAATTCACAGTATGAGATGGCACATTTTAGGTTTTCACCTTAGGGCTCCTCTGGATTCAGTTTGAGAGAAGACAGACTGCCATTGCCGCTTTCCTCAACTGGCTTCCGACACAATGAGTCCCTTGCTGGAAACAAACATTAAAGCAAAATCAATAAATATTCCATTACTTTTGGCCATTTTAAAACTATTAAAAATACTGGGCACATTTTGTAAATGGTACAGAGCCAAAAATAAAGGCACACATGTGGGCAATATCATGTGAATAACAAAATATCTTTCCTACCACAACAAATAATAATTCATAAGCATTTATCAATGGGGTTTTGTGTTTTACTAGCCCAAGGAGTTTAATGTTCAAATTTCTTGCAGAGAGATAGAAGTTTTGTTTGTTGATTGTTACCTTTGGACAGACCAAGGCTAACTGTTACCCCCAGCTTCCAGTCTTTGTGCTAAGCTAACCATTTGCTGGCTGTAGCTTCATATTCATGAGAGTGGTATCAATCCTCCCATCTAACGCTCAGCATGATACCGAACACCAACTGTATTTCTCAAAATGTCATGCCATTCAGTGCAGAATGACTTTGCTTTTAACGCTGCAACATACGTTGTACTGGTGGTTTTCTTGGCATGCAAAACGTTATGTGCAGCTTGCAGGTCACAGTGGTCAGTACAAGCAGTCCAACAATTCCAAAAATGAGGAGGGCCATACCTAAACAAGACATGCAAGCTACGAGTTATTTAACATTACTTTTTAATCTGAGGTTGTGCCATAAAAAGATAGCAGAAAATATTTTACCAATGGGGTCTTTTGAGGTGACAGCGGGTTCTGGAGCAGATGTGGGATTGGGTGAGTCTGTGCTCCTCTCAAGTGGATGGTGGGGTGTTAAGCGTGTGATTAGAGGAACATTTCTGTTTGACACGGGGGATGTAGTGACATAAGTACTCTTTGAATCATCATTGCAGATAACATCTGAGGTCTTGGTTCCAGTAATATTCACTCCTGATTTACATCTGAAATGAAGAGTAAAAGGTACAGCTGTAAACAACAAGTAAACTATGTTAGGCATAGATGAGATTTAATGTTTTTATATAGGCTAATGCATATACAGAGTATTTAAAACGGTAGAATACAATGGACATACACTTTCCATTTCTCACATCGAGAGTTGATACTTTTGCTGAAATATCCTTCTTCACATTCTTCACATTCTGGCAAGGGATAAGAACGTATCACAATAAAGACAATTTCTTTGGCATATTGCATGCAATGTTGTGTGATCATCTCTGTACCTCTTTGGTTTTTTCCAAATCCAATGTCACATTTGCAAGTGGAAGAATCACTGTCACTGGGAACAAATTTTCCACGACACTCACATATTGTGTTTGTCTCTGCCGTGCACTTCACTTTAACATCACTCCCTGAATCTACAACGACAAAAACATCTCATTGTTAAAGGCAGGCTGAGACTTGAAATCCAACCACTTCCTTTGGAAAGTAATGTTTGAACATAAAAAAGACAAACAGACAAAGTGAAATGTTTTATGAACCAGTTTGAAGAAAGTTTTGGCTCTTTTGAACAGCTAATGCTCACAGTACTTTTTTGTAAAACAAATCATATCAAAGCTTCAACACTTACCTCCATCACATTTTGTACATGGTTCACAACGTTTGGAATCATTCTCTTCAGGCTGGTATAATCCATCAGGGCAGTTTTCACAGTGAAGTCCGTTGATAGATGTTCTTTGACCTTGATTTCACAGTGCCCAGATAAACAATGACCTTCAATCACAGTAACATGCTTAAAGCACATGTAGAGGAAGTTGTATTACCAAAAAACGTACTATATTCAATGACATTATACAGCATGAGGAAGAAAATTACAGTGTAGTAAAAGACAGTCTTACCTTTTGGGCAAGTCTTAGCGTCTACATCAATAATGAGTTTATTAAAAGTCAAAGTGAATATAAGCAGTTTGAGCAGAACCATATTCAATACTCTCCCTTGTGAAACACCTCAGAGAGTGAGACATAAAAACTCCCCAGAGGAGACACCACCTTTATAAAGGTGAAAAACCCACGCTTTTCCAAGGGTGTTGTTTGGCCCTCACACTGCTTGAAGTAGTGTGCAAAAGTATCAACCTACAACAAAACAATAATTGTAACTGTAATTGTCTCATTTGCTTCTGCTAACTTATGCCATGTGTCTAGATGAATCATCACCTAAGTCATTGAGCTACATTTTATTTGATAAATATTATAGGCTACATAAATCAACGTATTATTATAATTACTACAATTAATATTATTACCAAAAATAATAATATTAGTCAGGGGGTTCTGGGGATCGTCTCCAGAACAATTTAAGCGTTAAACACTGACTTTCCTGCATTTTGGTAAATTTTTCTGCACCAATTTATGGTGGAAGTGTCTTTATTTTTGTAAAGGGAAACACAAAATTCAGACAGCAGGTGACAATTCAAAATCCAAAAATATAATGCCATAAGGCTCTCGGGCATCCTGTAGCCTATTGCTTTCAGATATGTTTTCTCCTTTAGAATCCAGTCTCTCTCCTCTCGTGAGTAACGTCAGTGTGGAGTAACGTTTGATCTGCTGCTTGGACAGAGGACTGACTGATATAAAATTATTGTGAAGAGATCTGGATGATAGATAAATAGAAAGGGGGCTATTTTTAAAAAAGTATTATTCTTGTTTATGCTTTTAAAAAACCCTTTTTGAGATCCGGGGCTTTATAAAAATCCTTAAAAAGAGTGAGGCCACTAATAGCCTATGTTAAATGCACAAACTAATAATGTTTTGTAATGTGTTACTTATTTGTAACATTTACATTTATTCCTTTGGCTTTTATCCAAAGCGACTTACAATTGCTATACATGTCAGAGGTTACACGCCTCTGGAGCAACTAGGGGTTAAGTGTCTTGCTCAGGGACACATTAGTAGATGGGTCACAGTGGGGAATTGAACCCAGGTCTCTCACACCACAGGTATGTGTCTTATCACCACCCCAATTTACAATTACAATAAAAGGGCATGAACATAACAAAAGAAAAAGGATAATAATAAGTTATAGTTTGCCAGTTAGCACTCATGTATTGTTTTGATGTTTTGATGTCTCAAAGCTCAAATCAGGTTTCCCCTTCAATCTTGAAGCATAAAGCTAACAACTGGACCCCGAGTTAAGATTTAAAAAAAATAAAAAAACTCATGTTTCCAAGGTCATGAATGGACTGTAACACTCAACATATTAATAGTTTAAAATGGGCCTACTGCTTTCTGTTTAGAAAGTACAACATATGTAAATATATTTTACAGTAAATGGCAAATTGCTAATGTGCTAAATTTAAAGAAACATTTTATATGACAGACATGCTTGGCATTTTAGTTACACAAGAATTAGCATTAAACCCCCTCACCAAGTAAACCTCTCTATGGTGAGCAGATTGTGGGTGTTCAAAGATACTGCATTATATTTCTACTTTTCTTTTTTTATCAGCTTGAGGTTGAACTAATCCATGCTTGTTATATTTGTTGGGCTTCTGTAAATAACATCACAGAGTATGGTCTAGACCTGCTCTTTTATGAAAAGCGCTGTGAGATAACTGTTGTTGTGATTTGGCACTATATAAATAAAATTGAATTGAATTGAATTATATGAAAACTTTATATTGACAGCCTTTAGCCAACGTGATACATTGGAGTTAGCTCGCCTGCCGCTTGTACCAGGGATTACAGATGAAAAGTAGCCTTATGGCTAATTCTGGCATACTTACGTCATTGATGCACATTAATGTGCACTGTCCCTTTTAAATAAATGAATTAAAATTAAAATTGAATTTCAGTAACTAACGTTATTTGTATATCTTTCACTGGAGGCTCAGCAATGTGAGCACAGCTAAATGTACTGGATGATAATGAAAATGGTTGGTGAGCTAGACTGAATATCATAAATGAGATTGTTGCCAGACTAACAGTTAGACCGCAGTAACGTTATTGTAGTGAATGGCTCTTCCACTCTGTTGTTGTGCTGCGCTGTTATGTTGTAGTATCGTATACTATGTGGTTCACGTGAGTTACAGCGACTGAGACAGTGAAGAAGCTGTGTATTGGTATGGTATAGTATTGGTAAAACGACAACAAATCTAAATTGATTGTTACGGAGCAAACCGCTGCAGATCTGTGCTAACGATAGCCTTTACTATTTTGCGCCAGATAACATTAGCAACTGGTCAGCGTTAGCCACCGAGCTAATGTTATCTAACTTGAGCCAACTAAAGCACAAAATCACAATATGTTTCAAATGCTTTGCAGTAATGTTAGTTTACCTATCGAACAGGATGAAAGACAACTCCGTGTCGCTTTTGTGAGTTCCAAAACAAGCCTTTCTGATGATGACTGTGTTTTCACCCGACGCCGTTTTGATTCTCATTTGACCCGATGGGCTTTGTTGGTGTTGTTGTCCTTACGGGGAGTATATGTTGAAGTCTGTGTTGACATCTCTGTCTGGGAGCCGTTTTATGGTGTTAGTGGACTCAGAACCAGACATGATTCCCTCACATAAGAAGCAGAATAGTGGCTGTTCCAAACAACATAGAAAACAGGTTACAGCCCCTTGACAAATAGGCAGTAAAAATGTGATTTATTAATAAGCATAAAGCCCCTTTAAAGGCTAAATGCTACTTTCTCACAGTCACCTATTAAATACTGAAGTTAAATACTTCACTAATTTCTTATCAGGTAATTAAATTGTTCAAACAGATTTTACATTTTTGACAGAACTTTTAATTAAAATATAGATTTTGATATAGCTATTGATGATGGTCCTCAACAATACACTAAATAAGTGAGTTCATCTGATTTATATGAAATAAATAATAACATATATATTGTATATATACATTACGATGCATTTCGTTCATTATAACAACAGACAATAAAACTGACAAAAAGGGATTTTCCATCTGCACAACTCCCTGCTCCATTATAAATGTTTTTAGGAAACATCTTTCATTATCATCTTTAAGGAAATACCACTTTAGAGCTATTTTGGCATGTTATTAACCTATATCTGGGCTTTTTTTTTTCTTTCAGGACTAATTGGAAAATAGGTAGACTCTGTGGTCGGAAACTATGCAGCTTTATATTGTTTTGCCAGTAAGAACATGACATATACCTTTGCATATGGACTTGCAAATGGAAACAAAACCACATACTCTTGATGAATCTGCAAGATACAACCACACAAATGCTACAAAACCCGCTTCTTGAAAGCGGATGTTGAAGACACACACCTCCACTCAAGCTTTAGCTGGCAGTGAAATTATAAAAAAGGTTTTAATTAGAGTATCATAAAAATTCTTTATATTTTCATATTTAACATGAACATAAACCAATTAACAAGCTGAAAAAGTGAAACCTAATCTGCAATACTTGTTGTCACTGATGTGATGAGTCAGACTGAGCTGTCATCAGTGCAGAGTTCATTTGCCATAGTAAATTTCTATATGGCGAATCAGTAGAATAGCCCATTGTTTGTCTCTCTCTGACATCACAGAACATTTTAATCAGACAACTATTTAACGAGTTTCTAACTCCAAGTGACCTTTTCATGTTTTCATGTGTCACTAGAAACTGCACAGGAAAGACATTTTGCTCCCGAGAAGTTTCAAAAGCAAACAAACTCCAAGACAAGTTTCGCAGCATGTCATGAAAGTTTAAATACTGTTCTTGTAGTGCCACAGCATGGCACATTTTCAAATTACCATTGTAGCTTGTAAGCGTGTAAGGTCATATGAGATAGTTACCTTATACGTTAAAGCTGTGCCATGCAGTGACTGTGTGTCCTTTTTGTAGCTGAACCTTTCAGTACAGTTAGTACTAGTAAGTAAGTTAGTGGATTAAGTTATTAGGAGTACAGTCAGTTGGAATGTGGGTGATGAAACCCCAAATAATGCAATAAAAGGGTCATTTTCGATCTGTGTGCCACTTATTTCAGAGAGTGCGTAAAAGATGTCTTTCCAGAAACCAAAAAGAGATGGGCAACACCAAAACATGTGTGCATGATTTTCAAGAGACTGGGTACATCTCACACAGTTAGGGCTCATGTCCTTCTAAATTTTGGATAATCTTGCTCTTGTTAGTCTAATGAGCCCAATGAATGAGTTTACATTGAATAAGACCGTGTTGAGTGCTGGTGACCATAAATCTGAACAGATCACCACATGTGGAGTCCCTCAGGGTTTGATTCTTGGGATCTCTCACCAAGTGACTGTGGTCCCATAGACTCACTCTATCAATGCTTAGAGCAAGTAAACAGCTGGATGCGAGTGAATTTCCTTCACTTAAAAAAAAGACAAGACAGAAATCATTGTATTCGGCCACCAGGAGGAAAGAAGGAATTTCAGCTTTGTGAAATAAAGATACAGCTAAAAACCCTAGACAGTAATTGGTGTATAGTTCAAAGACATTGATTGATCAGGGTAGGTTTTCCGATAAATATGCATGGATATCCTTGTCCTCACTTCTCATCACCTGAAACATATTTGAATTACTGTTTGAATCTTAATTTGTTTAGTTACTGTTTAATAATTATGTTGCTTCAAAGAAGATTAAGATCATGGACTCCACTCTCTCCTTCCAACAGCACATCAAAAACACTACTAAAACTGCCTTTTACCATCTTAAGAACATCTCCAGACTCCGACAGTGCCTCTCCAACTCTGTAGCTGAGACCCTCATCCACTCCTTCATCACCTCCCGACTTGACTATTGTAACGATATCCTGTTCGGTCTGCCCAGCAAGACTACTGACAGACTCCAGTATGTCCAGAACTCTGTGGCTAGGATGCTCACCCACACAAAACTTGGACTTCACAACACTCCCATCCTGAAGAAGCTCCACCGGCTGCAAGTTAAGTCCCGGATCAAATATAAAATCCTCCTACTGATGTACAAATCTCTCCATGGACTTGCACCTCAGTACCTCACAGATCTACTCCATCCCTACACTCAGTCACGGTCCCTGCGGTCCTCTTGTAGAGCGATCGTGCTGTGACTAGTAGACCCCTGGATATTGCAGATGAATGCAATATCATCCTGTTGCTTTTGGGCTCAAAATGTGTTACTCTGTTTTGTGTTGAAAGTTGGATTTACGGAGCGGAGGTTTCATGCTTAACGGAAAATAAAGTATTTGCGCATTCTACTGCAGTGAGATTTTTATTAGGTCTTTTTCTAACTGTGTATTTCTGGTTACCTTTACCAGTCAAAGGACGGTGGTCGCTTAAGACACAGCACTCATGGTCAGTAACACCACTCTGAAAAGACATAATTGGCCAGTTGACACACACATTAAAAGGATGGACCGACTTGTGTCTTCCACAAAAACACAGCACCTTTAAAGCAATATTCCACATTAAAGACATTTCTATTTACTTGACATTATTAATAGGCTGACAGTAATGATACCACATTTTCCCAGCTCAAAAGACATTATTGTTTTTTAGCAACAGATTTAAAGTAGATAAAAAGCCTCTGCACACAGGATGTGATATGATCTATGTTTCTAGCAGCAGCAATAACATATGCCTGGCAATAAAAATAAAGGGACAGTGTGGTTAGCACAACGCCCTGCAGTTCATGTGGGTGAGTACAGAACAAGAAAACAAACTGCACAGTAAAAGCATTTGATTAAAGCAGGTATAATGCAAAAACAGCACAGTAATTATCATACTACCCATGAGAAAATATTGTGTGTTTGGGTTTTTGGGTTTTTACTAACCAAAGTCCAGATATTTATACATGAATGTGCGTCTCCCATATTCCCTAAGGTGGACACTGAACTCACTTACCTGAAATATGACAACCACTGCTCATTACTTCTACTACTGCTGCTATTTATATTCATTTCATAAAGCATTACAGTCAGTATATACAATATGTAACTCCAAATCTCTTTCAAATTAAGAAAGACATTTAACATAAAAGAGCAGGAAACTGGTTTTCCCATTAAGTCTTCTATTGTTATTGGAGAAAAGGAAGATAGAAGAAGACTCATAAAAAAGTCCCAGCAGGGTCCAAACTAAACATAGAAAAGCAGGAACAAATCTCCAGAAGATAATAAGGCTCACCCTCATTTTGACATTGCTTTAAATCTATAGGTTGAAAATGTTTACATTTTACATTTTACAAATCAACTTTGCTGTCAGAGTGAAATAAAATGCAAACTCCTATATCTACACTCCTTATATTTATTTATTTATATTTGTATCCATGTTTGCACTCAGTATTGCTATTACTATTTTATTCTACACTACTATTAACTTTACATTTATGTTTGCTGTAAAATACTGTAAATATCCACACTACCTTATATTTATATATTGTTATTTCGGTTCCTTTCGGATCAATGATGTATTTCTTATTCTGATTATGAAACTCCAAATTACAGAACACTAAACAACATAACTTGGAAAGTAATCTGCTCGTCAAAGACCGGTGTTGCAGCTTTTTATTTCCTGGAACATAAAAATTGTTATTATTATTATTACTAACATTAAATGTGAAGTAGTGGCCTTTATAATAATTATTCCAAGTTGAGTGATGCCTCGTCTTGAATGTGTGTACGTCTCAGAGAAACCAGTAGATGGTGGTAATACGACAGTGGACTGCAGTGTTTGTGAAACTAGAAGAAGAAACTACTCACGACAAATCCTGTAATGCGACATGTCGAAAAACAAGCTGGATGAAATGCAATGCGGCAGCACTGAGCAATAGTTGATTTTGTTTAGTTGTTGGTAAAAGAGAAACTGTCACATCAGGCTTTTACTCAATAAGTGCAAAGCACTCACAGTCTTTCGGTGCATTAGTAGTTTCCCCTTTGACGGTATTTTTTCTACAGAAACACGTCTTTAAAGTGGGAGAATCCAAATAATAATCGGGGGTTTTCCTCTGTGAAACAAGGAAATACATAAACCGCATTCTGTTGCAGCGGGTTTGTCCAGTGGTCCTGCCCCGAAAAAGCGATGCTGGTCACCGTTTTCTGCGCGCCGAGGGATCGCCCAGAAACCACCTTCGCCCTCGATGTGTCCCCGGAGCTGGAGCTGAGAGATTTTGTAGCCCTTTGTGAACTGGAATCAGGAATCCCGGCTGGGGAAATTCAGGTGAGAGCCAGGCTAGCTGTAGCCAGAGAGCTAACGTAGCTAACAGCTAGCTAGCTGACGTGCTAGCATGAATCGGACTTTTGCTGTTTTGATTGACGGGGTGTTGCGAAACTTAAGTTATCGGCAGACACGTTTGCCGACTTGTGTCGCCAACGGTTAATAACGGTCACACACAGTCGGCTTTATCTGTGGGTGGCCTTAACATAACCTAAAGGCAACCTAATGACTTACTAACAGATAGAAATGATTAGAATGGGGCAAAATAGCATGTGAAATGATTAGTCAATCGATTGATTGATCAGTCAGCAGAAAATTTAATCTGCAACTATTCTGTACAAAGCAATCCTTTGGTACTGTCTTGGAAAACAGGCTCCTAAAATACCTCACCTCCCTTTCATTATTAATACAGTTTGGTCTGTTATGAAATATGATTGTGGGCAAGCCAGAAACTGAAAGTGAGGGTGATCAGGTGACGTAACATTAACAGTGATACATAACCTTGTAGATCTAGGTGGGAAGGTAGTTGCTGCAGTCAGATAGACCACTGGAGTTGCCAGCCAGTGAAACTATATAATATTTGCAGTCTGATGTACTAACCGAAAAGTAGAATTTGCTAAATCAAGTGCCACCTTATAACTGTAGCATTTGTTTGACGGCTGTCCTGTTTGATCCAATGAAATCTGTGTTAAATATGAGGCTGAGTTTATCCAGTCATGGGGATCCTATGATCAAAGGAGGAGCAAGGATCTGTAAATCTTCTGTATGATGATATAAAATATCCTTCTGTGTTTTTCCATGAACAGGTCACATATGTAGAACAGCCCCTAACAGACCCCACTCGTGCCTTGGGGACCTACGGTGTTAAGGACGGAGATGTGGTGGTTCTCAGGCAAGCTGACAGAAGACCGCCGCCAACTCAGCCAGGCTTCCCAGGTAACATGCTCCATGGTTAAAATGATGATGAGAGCTATTGATATAAGTGAGTTACTGTACATTAAGGTCCCATTAAATTAGGTTGGGATTTGACTTTGAGAAGGACTTGAATTGAGAGTTAAAAAAAACCCAGGAACAACCAAAAAGACATTAATCTGTAACAGTTTGTGCTTGTTTCATTACTCTTTAAAGTTTTTAGCATTTTCACAATGTTGTTTTACATCCACATACATTCATCCAACCTGTATTACTGCTTCCAGCTCTAGTTAGTAAAGGTTTTTTTGTTGTTGTTTGTTGTTGAGTTGTCATGGGAGGGCTTTGCCTGCTGCCTCAAAATCAAGATAAGTCATTGAAAGTATGAGGAAAGTCAGTGCATTTTACAGGAAGAGAAAGGGGTAAATCATCTATTTAGTAAGCCGAATTTTTGTACACGCAAGTTGCTAACCTCTCACCGCTCTATCCTTTGTGCTCCTTAGGTCTGCCCCATATTGACTTTCGTTCAATCACAGTCCCCGGCACATCTTCTTCAACCAGTCAACGTGGTGCCATAAGGCCACAGCAAAAGCCTTCGCAGCCGCCCCAGCAGCTGCCACCACCGCAGCTGCCGGCCCAGCAACAGCAGCCGCCACAGCAGCACGATGCACAATCTTCCACGCCAATGGCCTTTCGCGGCTCCTCTCCTCAGGGGCTGGATGACCCTGCCTTACTCCAGCAGATGCTCTTATCCAATCCACACGAGCTTTCACTCCTCAAGGAGCGAAACCCGCCACTTGCTGAGGCCCTGCTAAGCGGAGATTTAGGTTAGCAAAAAAAAAAGCTGTTGATGTCACATGCCATGATTTGTTCGATTCGAAACGGTCAAGTTAGTGTAACTGTCTATTTTTCCTAAGAGCGTTTCACCAAAGTGCTGCTGGAGCAACAGCAGGATCGAGCCAGGAGAGAGCAAGAGAGGATCAGACTTCTGACTGCTGATCCTTTTGACTTGGAAGCCCAAGCAAAGATTGAGGAGGACATCAGGTATGGTGTACAGGCCTCATAATACCCCTCATCTTCATTATGGGACAGCCTTAGTTTTACTTCACTAATCAGATATTGTGATAATGATATTTGAGATTGATTGTACAATTGACCCTTTGCTAAGCCCCGCCCCCTTAGTTACTGTTGCTAAGTCCGACAAACTGTCGCC